GGGGCTAGCAGCATGGCACAGAGATGGGGAGAAGGAGCTGCCATGAACTCCAGCTCAAACTTCCTGTCCTCTAGGACGTCACAGCCAAGGGCAGACTCTCCTCCGACAGATAGAGGATGGGTAGAAAGAGCAGCCACCACACGGATGGCGTAGTCAAGGCGACGGGTGGTATCAAAATCAGAATCATGTATTTGATCTTACCATGGATGATGCTCGTACTTATGGACATATATGCTAACGTTGACTATACTGCTGCTGGATCTGTTTGCTCGCGTGTTTCCTAGACTAGGATGCTTGCTTGTAGCTAGTGTAGGTGCTTGCGTTTCCAATGTAGGTGCTGTGTAGTTACTAGCCCATGTGTACCCATGGGTGATGCGTCGCTCTCCTTGATGTTGGACTCTGGCGCATCTCAGTGCTTCTTTCGTGACCACACCACTGTCACACCTCTTCATGCTCGCGTCTCAGTTGCCCAAGCTGATCATACTTTTGTACCAGCAGTCGCTCGCAGCTCTACCACCCTCCCGTTGTGAAGAAATGAGGAATGAATGAACTAGGAAAGAGGTGGGTACAAGTAGGAAAACCTAGAAATGTTGTACCCCATATTGTCTACCCCACTACAGCCTACACAGACTAAAGCATATAAGTTTAACACACCCCCATAGGCAAAGTGGGGAGAACAAGTGGTCACAAGACCAGTCAAGCAAAGCAAAGCAAGCTCAGGGTGGAGCACAACGTCACCACACAGTCCGAGCACAAGCTCAAGGCAACAAGGCCAGTTCACATACAAGATCATATATAAAGGTAAACAAGCAAGTGCTGGTATAGAAAGATCACAGTAAAAGCAAGGTCAAGAAGTGAGCAAGTGAGGCCAAGTAGGCACAAGACCTAGCATCGTACAGAAGCGCTGATGATCACAAGGCGGAAGTGCCTTGGAAAAGATATCAGCAGTGTTGGCCTCAGAGGCCACGTAAGCAAGGCGCAGCTAACCACACTGCTGCAGCTCACGAGCAAGGAAGTAGCAAAGAGCAATGTGCTTCGTTCTGTGCTCCAGTCTGTGCTCCCGACACAAGGCCAGCATGGCCTTGTTGTCTACATACAGAACTAGAGGAGAACGAGGCGGCTCTCCTAGGTCAGTCAGCAGGTAGGTGAGCCAGCGTAGCTCCTGTGCAGCCATGACCCCCGCGTAGATCTCAGCCTCACAACTGGAGCCGAGAACAGAAGAAGAGCAGGTAGACCGCCACGAAACAGAGCCGGAACCAAGGCTGAAGGTGTAACCCTGTGACGACCGCTGCGTAGCCTGGTCGTCAGCCCAAGAAGCGTCTGCATGACCTGTGAGGACCACTGGACGTCGCCCTCCAAGAACTAGCCCCATGCCCGACGTACTGCACAAGTAGCGCAACACCCTCTTCGCTGCAGCCATGTGCTCTGTTTAGTGTCTCCCAGGAGCAACATAGCGTGCCAAGATGCTAAGAGGGTATGCAAAGTCAGGTGGTGTGCAAGTCATCAGGTACATGAGGCAGCCAACAAGCTCTGGGTACGGGCCACTCGGCTCTACGGACTCATCCGAAGGCAGAGCTGAGAGCGAGTGGCGAGTAGGCAGAGGAGTGGCCTGAGGCGAGGAGTACGTGAAGCCAAGCGCTGAAGGACCTGCTGCACCATGTGTGACTGAGTCAGGGTAATGGTGCGCTATGCTCTGTCCCGAGTGATCTGCAAGCCAAGGTAGCTGCGCAGTTCACCCAGGTCTGTGCACGTGTGTCTCTTCTGCAGCTCGGACTTCACGTGGGCGAGTCTAGCAGTGTCAGCAGTGGCAAAGACCAAGTCGTCGACGTACACGAGGATGTAGAACGGCGGCAAAGAGGTGTCGGTGCGTAGAAACAGCGACGGTTTGGTAGTAGAAGGAGCAAACCCAAGAGCCGCAAGTGTAGTCCTCAGTGTGTCGTGCCACTCACAGGGCGCCTGGCGGAGACCGTAGACTATCCGCCAGAGGCTCCACTGGGTACCAGGGGGAAACGACCCAGTGAAGCCAGGTGGGCGGCGCAGCCAGATCTCCTCGTGCAGGCTGCCCTGTAGGAAAGCAGTGCTAAAGTCAAGAGAGTGAAGCTCGTATTCGCGCTGAGCGGCTATGTGCAGCAGCACCCGAAGAGTGGTCATCTTTGGGGTGGGAGAGAAGGTCTTAAAGAAGTCAACTCCCTGCCGCTGACTGAAGCCTCGAGCCACGTAACGCGCCTTGAAGACAGGCGGAGAACCCGGCGGCCGCTTCACCCTGAAAATCCACATGCCACTGACGATGTTCGCCCCAGGTGGGGGAACCTCGTCGACGTAGGTGCCTGTGGACTTCCAGGAAGCCATCTCTGCGTCCATGGCTGACTGCCACTGTGAGGAGTATGGACCCTCGATCGCCTCAGCGTACGATCGAGGAGTCGGGATGTCTGGTGCATCCGGGTCTCCCTCAGGGGCAATCAGCGTGGACACGAGATGAGGCAAAGCAGCAGAAAAAACACTGGAACTCCTCCTGCCTGTCCTCAAGGACGTCCGTGCTAAGAGCACACTCACCCCCGACGGACGGAGGACAGACAGACTCAGACTCAGCAAAAAGACTAGCAGCGTAGTCTAGACGACAGCGCGCAGCAAAGTCGACAAGCTCAGCAACTAAGGCAGACGCAGCAGTGGACTCAATGGAAGGGTCAGTGACAACAGTAGCGAGAAGACGTGTGACAGTAGGACTGGCAGCACGAAGAGAGTCAGACTCCGGGTCAGCAAGAGCAGGAAGAGAGGACTCTGGAGGAGACGGCAACGGGACACGCAGAGGAGCAGTGGAAGGACGCAGTGCCATCTGGTGTGGGCCTGGGACCGTAGGAGGATGCGGACGAGGAGCACGACGACTAGTGCGAGCAGCAAGAACAGGCGACGCAGGACGAGACGCAAGCTCACGACGCTCAGCAAGACCTTCAGTAGGACCAGTGTAGGGAGAAGGAGCAGGTAGGGGGGAGGCAGGCTGTAACTGTGACCAGCGACTGGACAGGCTGTGGACACTCTAAGGGAGGAGCAGGACCAGTAGAGGGTAGGAGACCAAGAACCTGCTCAAGAAGCGGAACGAAGTACGGCCGCGGCCGCGCAGCGCCTCCAGAACCAACAGGGACAGCACCAGTCCCCCCAGCGGCAGCACCAGCGCCAGCAGCACCTCCAGCTCCAACAGCGCCAACTCCAGCACCCTCAGAAGCACCAGCGCGAGCAGGCACCTCTAGCACCAACACCCCCAGCAGCTCTAGCTCCAGCAGGACCGTCAGCTCCAGTACCGCCAGCAGCTCCAGCAGTACCTCCAGCAGAACCAACTCCAGCAGCACCCCCGGTCCTAGCAGCTCCAGTACCGCCAGTACGAGCACCTCCAAGACCAGCAGCAACAGTAGCACCTCCAGCTCCAGCAGCACGGCTCCAGCGCCGGGCAAACCACTCGCGCAGCTCTTGCGGAGAGAGTAGCTCCCGCCTGGACGAAGCACCGCCAGAGGTCACACAAGCAAACCCAGCACCCCCAGGCTCAGCACCCCCAAGCTCCGTACCCCCAGGCACAGCACCCCCAGGCTCCGCACCCCCAGGCTCCGTACCCCCAGGCTCAGCACCCCCAGGCTCCACACTCCCAGGCTCAGCACCCCCAGACTCAGCACCCCTAGGCTCAGCACCCATCGACTCAGCACCCCCAGACCCGGCACCCACAGGCTCAGCACCCCTAGCAGCACCAGAGTCAACAGCTACCTCGACAGGCTTGACTGCGTCTACCTGGGACACACCTGACGGGGCAGGACCCTGAGGGGGGAGGGGGTCTACCGGGGGAGGACCTGGCGCAAGGAAGAGCGGCGGCGGGGGGAGGGGAGCAGTGCGGTAGGGGAAGAGACGGTAGTAAGGCACCGACTCGTCAAAGGTGACGTCCTGGGAGGACAGAACACGGCGCGAGGTGGGGTGGTAAAACTGCCAACCAGGCGCGTCAGGGGGGAAGCCAAGGAAGACGCAGGGAACAGCACGGGGGGGACAGCTTGTCCGCGGACAAGTCGCGGACAAACGCCCGAGATCCCCAGACCCGAAACGCAGACGCATTGTCAACCTTCCCTGACCACCGTAAGGTGGGGGAGGTCTCTCGCAAGGAGACCCGGGGCTGAAGGTTGAGCAGATGCGCTGCGTACTAAAACCGCAAACGGCCACAGAAAATGGGGAGCAGCCGCATGCATCATGGACGTACGAGCGACGTCCATGACCATGCCAATGCGGCGCTCGGCAATCCCATTTTGCTGTGGAGAGGCCAGAAGCGTGCAGGTCTGGCGGATGCCCTATGCACGACAGAAGGCTCCCAGACGAGCAGAGGAAAACTTCCGCCTCTGTCAGAGTGCAGACGTAAAACAGGAAAGTCCGAGCCGAAACTCTCTCAGAGCTCGAGACAAGCTGCGCAAGGGGAACACTGTGGTGTAACGCGAGTAGTCGTCAACCACCAACAGGAAGTAACGCTCGTGACCCTGGCCACGGACGCGGGCGGGGCCCCACACGTCCATGTGAAGAGTCTGCAAGGGAGCCTCTGTTGGAGGAACTCGGAGGAGTGAGGGGCGGCGCGCTGCCGCCACTCGACGCAGGGTACGCAGGTAGGGGCAGGCCCCGGAGGGAGGGGAGGGAGGGACATGGGGAGACCACAGACAAGGACATGGGAGGCCATGCCTCGGAGACGAGGCAGGGAGGGGTGACCAAGGCGGTGGTGCCAAAGGAGAGTCTGGTGGGATAGGAGACGACACAAGCAGGGAGCAGACTCAGGACCAGACCTGGACGCTGCAGCAAACACCTGACTCAACGCAGCTACCTGACCAGACTCAGCAACCGGAGGAGACTCAGTAGTCAGTGTGTACAGGCTCGACCGCGGCCGACGGGTAAACGTGGCCAAGTGTCGGCCCGTGCGAGCACACGTGCAGTGGGTCACCCGGTGACGCGCACGAGTGAACTGGTCAACCCCCCCATCCTGTAGGTCAGCACCACTCACCAAGTTCGTAGAGAACGAGGGGAGGTAGAGACCTCACAGGGTGCCAGAGGGGGCTTCCGGACATAGTAAGACAGTGGAGAAGCGAGCAAGGACAGGACCCCCAGAGGGGTCCGCCTGGGAGACCGCATCCGGCCGACTAAGCGGCGTAAGCGTGGTGCGGTCTCGAAAGAAGGAGCGGGAAGCACCCGATACAAGGGTGAAGGTGTGTAAGGCCCGAGCCGCCATGGTACCTGAAGAGAGCAGACTCACCAGCACTTGGGGCAGCAGACGCACTAGCACCTAGAGGAGCAGCCTCACCAGCACCTAGAGCAGCAGCCTCAATGCCCGGGTCAGGCATAACACACAGGTAACAGTCACCCTCATCACTAGTAGACACAGCATACATGGCAGCAAAAATAGCATCATAGTCAAGATCAAAGATAGCAGCCCCCGCCCTAGATAGCTCTCCCCAGCGAGGGATCTCAGTGGCGTCAGGGAACTGGAGACGCCAAGCGTCCGTCAGGCGGCCGAAGCAGCGCTGGGTGGAGTGCGAGCCCCCGCACTGCTCACCAGCGCGGTCGCCGGTACGGAGGACGTAGGTACAGGGACCAGTACCCCCACCTCGCTGACGCCCAGCGTACCACTCACGAAGCTGCTGGGGGGACGGGGTCTCACGAGTGCGCTGCTGCAGCTGGCGTGGACCACCACCGGAGCCCCTCCTCTGTGCAGAGCCGCGACCAGCTCCACCGCCTCCGCCGCCGCCGCCCCCGCCACCTCCGCCGCCTCCGCTCCCACCGCCACGGCCGCCGCCTCCTCCGCCTCCACTGCTGCCACCGACACCTCCACCCCCGCCACCACTCCCACCACCGCCCCCACCCCCTCCAGTGCCTCCACCGCCACCTCCACCGCCCTCGCCAGCCCTTCTAGCGCCCTTGCCCCCCTTGCCCTTGCCGGTGCAGCGTCTCTCGCTAGGGGCAGACGCAGCGCCGACCGACTCGAAGCCAACGAGGTTGGCCGCAGCAGCAGAAGCAACAGAGGGCAAGAGGGGGGAGGGGGAACACCCCTCAAAGACGGGGGGTACGAGGGTCACCACGAGAGGCTCCTACAACGACTATGCTTTTCTCTGCTGCCAGGAGGCGCTCCTCGAGGAGGTCAACGGTTAGAGTGGTGGGGCAAAACTGAGAGGAAGTGGTCCCTGACTAAACGAAGGGAGTCAGGGAGCCGGGTGACTATGTAGTAGAGGGTGATGTACATGGGGGGATGGTTCTTGGCACAGAACTCAGCAGGAAGCGCAGCGCGGTAGCGAGTGTCACTAGTGCGAAGGTGCGTAATGAGGTCAGCGACTGTGGGAAAGGCAGCAAGGTCAGGGAACAGGTACGGCAGCATGAGGCGGCTAAGAGGAGCAGTGGCAGGGGAAGAGTAGCGTGCAACTACAGCGTCGTACAAGGTCTTAGCACTCTTGTACTGACTAAAGTGCGCAAGCTCAGCGGTCGGTAAGTGGCGACGCACAGCAAGACGGGCAGCAGCATCGCGTGTGGCCCACTGTGAGCGAACAGTGCTGTCACCAGTAGCAGGCGGGGTAGGAGAGGCACCAGAGGTGAGATCAAACAGGGAGAGTCCGTCTGCCCTATCGCACTGGAGGAAGAGCTGGAGGTCATCGACCCAGACCTCAAAGTCAGCAGCACGACCCTCAGCATCAAAGGTAAGGACACTGGGGGTAGCCATGACACCAGTGGTCTAGCAGGGAGTGCTCTCACCAATCCGGGTGGGTAGGGCCGGTGCGCGCCGGGAGGAACAGTAGCGGCTCGATGGCGGCTCGACGGCGGCTCGGCGGCTCGGCGGCTAGGTGGCTCGGCGGCTCGGCTGCTGAGCGGCTCGGCTGCTGGGCGGCTCGGCTGCTGGGCGGCTCGGCGGCTGGGCGGCTCGGCTGCTGGGCGGCTCGGCTGCTGGGCGGCTGAAGGGGCCGTGAAGGGCGGCGACGGGGCCGCAAAGGGCGGCGACGGGGCCGATAGGGGCGGCGACGGGGCTGCTAGGGGCGGCGACGGGGCCGCAAAGGGGCCGCGAGGGGCCTCGAAGGGCGGCGACGGGGCCGCTAGGGGCGGCGACAGGGCCGCGAAGGGGCCGCGAGGGGCCTAGTGGGGGCGGCGACGGGGCCGCGAAGGGGCCGCGAGGGGCCTAGAGTGGCGGCGACGGGGCCGCAAAGGACGGCGACGAGGCTGTAAGGGGTGGCGACGGGGCCGCTAAGGGTGGCGCGAGGGGCCGTGAGAGGCGACGTGAGGGCGGCCAACGGGGCGCGCCTCGGGCAGGGGCGACTCGCGCTCCGGTCAGGAAATATAAGTCGATTTCAGTGGTGGGCCCTGAGAAGCGTTCCCACTAGGGAACCTGCTCTATACCATGTGAAGAAATGAGGAATGAATGAACTAGGAAAGAGGTGGATACAAGTAGGAAAGCCTAGAAATGTTGTACCCCATATTGTCTACCCCACTACAGCCTACACAGACTATAGCATATAAGTTTGACACCCGTGCCCAACTGTCCCCTTTGGTTCTCTCACTGGTCTCCACATCCCCTTGTTCTCTAGGAACTTGGTGGGTGTTGGACACCTTCATGACAGTGGGGTCACAGTAACTTTCACAGGAGAGGTTTGCGACCTGTACGGACGCTGCTACCGGGTCACATCTTGCCACGTTCTCCCGGGAACCCCGCTAAGGTATCTTCACACATGACACCGCGTCCCCCCAGGTAGCAACGTCTGGTCAAGTTGCCGCATCATGCTCCTGTCGAGCGCTCACTCACCCAACTATCCTGTAGCACCGGCGTCTTGGTCACCCGTCCCTCCCACGCCTCCGTCACATGTCCAGCCTCCGTCTTGTCTCAAGTCTCCCGTCCGTGTTTAGTTGGTCACCCATCCCTCCTACACCTCTGTCACATGTCCAGCCTCCGTCTTGTCTCAAGTCTCCCGTCCGTGTTTAGGTCGCTCCCTCCTTCACCTTCGTCGCCGTGCACTCCTTGCGTCAAGCGACGGCTACGCGCCATCCGTCACTCATCTCTTCGACTAGCCTCCGAGCCCCTCCACACTCTCCAGTTGGACGTCTGAAGATCGCCCACACCTCCAGGGTCCATGCCCGTGCGCCCCATTTTCTGTGACTACGCCGCCCACCAGCTGAACCTCTGGCCGCATAACTCTCGCCCGAAGGTTTCCTCGACATGTCTTTGGACTGGGTCCCCTAGTGTTGCGTTGGAGTTTTGTGTCTCGGGCTGCCTTGGGTTTGTCCGCAATACCTTTGCGGACAAGCTCTCGGCTCGCACCTTCCCTTGTGCCTTCCTTGGTTTCCTAGTCGACGCCCCTGACTTTGTCTTTTACCACCCACCCCTCCACCGGTTCTTTGACTTCCATAACGTCACATTTGACAAGTCTGCGTCCTACTACGCCCGCTACCCCTGCTATCCAAATATACGGTAAAGATGATTTGACACGTGACTCAAACGTTTGAGATAACCAAACAGGTGTACGTTAGAATATATCTGTAACTGCCTGTAGCTGTAGTTAGTGTAGTTATTATAAACTTTGTTAGGTGGTGCACCTTCTTTGTTCATTTGCTATATGTTCTTGCAAACCTATAGTGAAGTCATTCATTCTCCTTTTCAGCTTCCTCGACACTCACTAGCCATGGCTCCTAGTCTAGCTAGGACTCTTTGACATGGTATCAGAGCAAACTACGTTCCTGGCCTAATGCTTCCGCTCCTACTCTGTGTACCGCACGCCCCGTGGCGTGCCCCTCGCGAGACCCTTAGTGGCCCCGTCGCCTCCCTTCCAGGCCCTTCGCGGCCCCTTCGCAGCCCCGTCGCCGCCCCTATCGGCCCCGTCGCCGACCTTTCAGGCCCCTCGCGGCCCCCTTCGCGGCCCCGACGCCACCTTTACCGGCCCGTCGCCGCCCTTCCAGGCCCCTCGCGGCCCCTTCGCGGCCCCGTCGCCGCCCTTATCGGCCCGGTCGTCGCCTTCAGCGGCCCCGTCGCCGCCTTTTGCGGCCCCGTCGCCACCCCTACCGGCCCCGTCGCCGACCGTTCAGGCCCTTCCCGGCCCCCTTCGCAGCCCTGTCGCCGCCTCCAGCGGCCCCGTCGCCGCCCCTACCGGCCCTGTCGCCGACCTTTCAGGCCCCTCGCGGCCCCTTCGCGGCCCCGTCGCCGCCCCTATCGGCCCCGTCGCCGCCTCAAGCGGCCCCGTCGCCGCCTCCAGCGGCCCCGTCGCCGCCCCTATCGGCCCCGTCGCCGCCTCCAGCGGCCCCGTCGCCGCCCCTTGCGGCCCCGTCGCTGCCCCTTTCGGCCCTGCCTCGACCCCGACCCCGGCCCTGCCCCGACCCTGTCGCGGCCCCTCGGCGCGGCCCTGCCCCGACCCTGTCGCGGCCCCGTCCCGGACCTGCCCCGACCCTGTCGCGGCCCCGTCCCGGACCTGCCCCGGCCCCGGCCCTGCCCTGACCCTGTCGCGGCCCTATCGCGGCCCTCCCCCTGCTATGCCCCGACCCTGCCTCGACCCTGCCCCGGCCCCGCCCCGGCCATGCTCCGTCGCCTGTCGCGGCGCACCGGGGGTACGTGCACCGCCCCCCCCTCTTTTTCCCGTCGCCCGTTGCGGCTCCCTGGGGGGCCGCACGCGGCCCCCTCAGGTCGCCTCGACAGGCGACGGGAGGGGCGACCTGGGGGGGGGGGGGGGGGGGGGGGGGGGGGGGGGGGGGAGCGTCGCCCCTTCTGCCGCCTGCTTTGGCGCCCTGGGAGGCCGCGCGTCGCCCCCCCCCCCCCCTCCCCCCCCCCCCCCTGTAACCTCCCTACCCGCCATCCCGCCCTGCCCTGTGTTAGGGTTTGGGGGTGGCGAGTAGGGGGTGGCGGGTGTGGGGGTGGCGGGTGTGTGGTCTCCTCTTCCCCTCCTCCTCCTTTCGTTCCCACTGCTGCAGCTGCCGCAGGGGGGGAGGGTGTGGGGGAGCCAGGGGAGTGGCATTGGGGTGGCGGGTGTGTGGTCTCCCCTTCCCATCCTCCTCCTTTCGCCCCCCCTCTGCTGCTCCTGCAGCAGTGGGAGGGGGAGGGGGAGGGGGAGGGTGAGGGGATGGAGTGGGTGACCAGCCAGCGCCAGCCCGCCTCCTCTCTCTCCCTGCCGCCCCTCCTGTGGTCGGGGGGGGAGGAGAGTAAAGGGGTGGCAGGAGTGCCTGCCCCCCCCTCCCTTTGCTGCTGTACCTGCTTTGTAACCTTGCCTGTTGCCTGCTGTTGCTGTTTTCTCAGTTCGTGGTGTACCCATCCAGGTTGTGTCACTGCACAGACTCCTACTTCTGGCAGTTATGGGGGAGTGTTAGAATATATCTGTAACTGCCTGTAGCTGTAGTTAGTGTAGTTATTATAAACTTTGTTAGGTGGTGCACCTTCTTTGTTCATTTGCTATATGTTCTTGCAAACCTATAGTGAAGTCATTCATTCTCCTTTTCAACTTCCTCGACACTCACTAGCCATGGCTCCTAGTCTAGCTAGGACTCTTTGACAGTGTACGGTATGCATGATTACCGTATTCTCCCGAATAAAACACCCCCCCGTAATTGTACACCCCCGGGTAGCTTATACGGGGTGGGTGTTATATCCAACCCCGTTAGTGTTATACCCCCCTTTTTGGGGTGATTCTCTATAACACCCCCTTTTCTTATAAATTCCTATTATAGCTATTATCGAGTCCGATTCCTTACGGGAGGATATCGCGAAAATCACTCCCTAGAAGAAATTTCGCATGTACTTTCACTTAGACTCAGCCGAGATATCCCCCCCTCCCACAATCTCGCTGTCGCCACGCTGGCGAATCTTCCACTGCAAGTGGTCCAAGAGGTGAAGTGGCCCAAGTGGCCCAAGTGGCCCACTTGGGCCTCGTACTCGGTTTTGCGGCATTGATCAACAATCTTGAAGTGAAGTCAGACCCCTGATTTTGTTTCACATCTTTTCTGTTCTATAAAAAATATACCATATCATAAGACCCGGGTATTATATAGGATTTTCCTTTGAGGAGACCCCCCCCCATTTTTTTCCAGTGGTTTTCATAATACCCTAGGGTGTTTTATCCGGGAGAATACGGTAATACAGTAAACTAGTACGGTATCAAACTTCAATAATACGCATCTAGTGTCAACTAATGAAGTATAGAATTTAGGTTATTTTTTTTCCCCCCTCAACAAGACTATGCACAATTCCTCTTAGGGCTTCATTTTTTTTGGGTTGCGGAGCAACCTATTGCAATCGACTAGAGCTACTTTTATTTTTCCGGGTAGTTTTGTTTTTGCCCCTTCAAAAGTGGAATAGAAAAAACAAAAACCATATAAAGAATCTACACTTGTTAAAACACCTAGTCTGTTACCAAGGTATATATGTCAGATTATAATGCATGTCTAGTCTGTAGTGGGGTACTCAAAAGTGAGTATAACCCTTTTAGGGCTTACTACTTGTATCCCCCTCCTTTCTATTTTCAACATTCTCCTTCTAAAATCTCTCGACATTTTCCTTACACCCTCGAACTTCACCACTAAGTCACTCGTAAACCATGGCTCCTAAGCCTACTAAACTCTAGTAACTCAACATGCTATCAGAGCTTAACACTCCTGGCCTGTGGGCCCACTTGCTTCCGCTGCCCTACTGTGTGTCGCGCGCCCCGTGGCGCACGACATCCTATTTTTCTTCCCGCCACGCGCTCGGAACGCGTGGCG